GCACCATCTTTTTCTTTACAGGCCTCGTAGGCTGTTGCAATATTTAAGGACGTGATGCTCACAGGCTGCTGTGGTACTCATCCACAGGAACACAGAAATGCTGAATCACAGAGGACTGTCAGGCTTGTCAGCTCAAATATCCTGCAATTTCATGTGGCCATTCCATCACACAAGTCCCTGCTTAATCTAAGGAATTTATTTATTTATTGCCGCTACTGCTCCCATTGGAAGACAATTCCAGAGCCTCACTGTGACCCGGTGGCTAAAATCTCTCCTCTAATTTCCCAACAAAACTTCTTTACTGGCCAGTTCCTGCTCATTTTTCTCCCATGCCAGTCCTTTCCTTGGGCTTACTCAGGTCTTCCCTTCCCTTTTGCATACTCCTTTCATTTGTTTATGATTAGGAAAAAAGATCCTACTTCAGCTTTCAATTTGCTAAGCCACACAAAGCAGCTATTTTAGTTTCTTCTTGCAAAATATTTGGCATTAGGGTTTCACTTCCCAAAAGAGAAGAACATGCATCATGGTAGAACTACATCCTGTGTAAATGTGTGGGCCGGGGCACACAGCACCCAAGTTCTGAACAGACACGGGAAGGCTCTGTGCGTAGGATATGAACAAGCCAGAAGTCACACAAACAGGTTAACAGAATGCCTTGTCTAAATGAACACGCTCTCCCTTCCTAGCAGGGGTTTTTAGCTTGGGCTCAGCTGGGGTTTAGTTCAGATTACATTAACATTGATTACATACAGCCAGAGGGAGCTTGCAGCTACCTTCCTGCTATGAGCAGAGCGTACTGAATGCTTCCCTGGAATGCGTAATCATGGCTTTCCCAGGAGCTAAGCTCCTTTGTCTTACATGATTCTAGATCCTGATCACATAAGGTTGAATAATGAGATTAAAACTTGCTGTTGTGAGGGAACCTACTGAATCACTCACAGTAAGTGTCTGCTGAATTCAGAGCTTTGCTGGATTCAGAAGATAGGAAGCAGGCATGGAGAGAGACCACAGAAGAAACGGATTCCCGACTCTGTTATCTGGCTATGGACAAATGATTTGAGGTTTTAAAATGTTTTCCTAACTTCTCTTTACACCTAATGGCTAACAGTAGTCTGGTGCCTAAGTATTACAACTGAAGTATAGTTAACTTAGTTTAAAAGATGAAAAATTACAACCTCAGTTCTTACTAGCAAGCAATAACTTCACCCATCAATGCAAAATACATTTCCTGATTATTTACTATAACACTACACATGCATATTCATACATATTTACATGGGGTCTGTAAGCATTCAATTACTTCAGCAGCATTGGAAAATTCACTGTCCTCAGGGTGGCCCTGAGGAAACCCCAAGCACTGTGCAAAGCAATGGTCATGGCTTGCTGGGTGGCATGCCCCTCTTTTAGTCGGTGTAGAAGTAAGGTCCAGATGTAGGGCTTTGGGCTTTAAAAGCAATAAAAAATTGATGCCCTGAGCACCAGTGGTGTAAGGAAAAAATATAATCTTTGTATTCTCTTAAGAAAGAGTACATTTCACCACAGGCCTCAGTTAAATTCTGGTATTATTAATATTACAGGATATATCACTGTAGTAAAGAGCTCAGCATACTCTTTCCGCTTAGTGGGTTCAATCTATTTATTGCTACAATATCTCCTTCTCCTCCAACATTTCATTATTAAAGACATCCTTCTTGGTTTTTTCTGGGATTTCAGGCTAAATAATTTGTACTTTGTCTACTCTCCACATTGGCAGTTGGCCAAGCAAAACTTGTTCTCTGTGCACAGACTGGTATCTATCTTCCTCTCCATTAAATATGATTTTCTGGGTACTATGAGGGAGCTGCAAGGACTACAGATTGTAGGATGTTCCAAATGTGTGGTTAGTCATAAAAAAAAATGAGTTCTCAGTGAAAACTGGTAAGAGCTTTTCACGTTGTTGCTACAACAAGCCTCAACAATTTTTTGGGGGATGATTCATAACCCACACCAACTTCAATATCAGAGGTATTTTCTTAGATGCAGTTACTTGATTAATAATATATTTTGCACCCAGCTTTGAGCGGTTTGCCTAACCATATATCAACACAGAACAAGGAACTATGCTTCTTCAAAAAGTGGCCAGATAACTATTTGCATTTTTTATGCAATATATCGTTCCTGAGTCATTAAACAAAATCAAATGAAACAAGAGCACTGACTTTTCAAAGCCAGGTATTGTGGCTTCCTAAATGTATTTCAAAGACAAATACTTTCCCAGCATCTAGCCCAGTACTGCAGAAAACAACATAGGGCAAAAGGGCAGAAGATTTTTATTCTCTCAGGTCACGGAGCACCAGTTTGGGGCTCTCCCTGCACCCTTCCTACTCTGTCGAAGGGAAGGTGAAAGGATCTGTAAGGAAACAAACCCTCTGGCTGACATTTATTCACAGGTACTTACAGTTAAAACAGGTGATTGTGATTATCTGGTGAGACTTCATACATTATGGCCCAAAGGCATTCCTACCAATATTTCTGCTAACCACCCAATAATTGGTGATACACATCTACTGCGTCTCTTGGTAAGCCGTTATGTGTTGTGAAGCTATTATCTCCACTGAATCATAGACTTCTGTTTAGATTTCAGTTTTTTCTTCAGCTTTCATTGCTACATATGAGATCCTATAATGCCTTTTTGTACAAGATTAAAAAGCTCCTTAGAATCAGATGTATTTTCCTGAGTTTACAAACAATACAAAGTAACCCAACTGCCTCTAACCTTCTACTTATTTAAGCTAAGCAGATTTAATAAATTGTAAAACCAATTTTTCAAACTTTTTTTCATTTTGCAGTTCTTTTCTGGGATCTTCCCAATTTTTCAAACTTTATCAGCATGGACTACCTTATTTCAAATATACTCCACATGGAGCTGCATAGCCAACCCCAAACGAACCTTCTACCACACTAAAGCACTGGTATTCACAGTGACTCAGCGGGAACTCTTGAGGACAAAACTCAGTTGCTTCAAAATCCTTATACCTTTCAGTAAGTACCCTTTTACCTCAGTATAAACTGAGGTTTTTACAACAGAAACTCCACCTGTGGAAAAAGAGTGTTTATTTATTGCATCCTCTTTATCACAGCCCCTGCTAACATAAAATAAAACAGGTCCGTGTCTTTCCTGTGCTGAGGGCTTCAGAGCTGGATGCAGTGCTCCAGGTGGGCTCTCACCAGAGCAGAGGGGCAGACTCACCCCCCTCAACCTGCTGGCCACCCTGCTTTTGATGCAGCCCAGGATAAGGTTGGCTCTCTGGGCTGCAAGAGCACATTGCTGGCTCATGTCCAGTTTTTCATCCACCAGTATACCCAAGTCCTTCTCTGCAGGCTCTCAATTCTGTCATCCCCCAGCCTGTATTGATACTGGGGACTTAACTTAAAATAGTAAGTGTTTAAAATTCCTCAGTGGCACTGAGCATACAAAGATAAAAAGGATCCTAGCAGATTTCTCTCTTATTATCATCACATATATTTGTTTGGAACAGATCATAGAAATCTAACTACTAATTCAGCTTGGAGAAAGACTTTAAGTTTCAGCACAGACTGGTTAGAGATTTTTTTAATGATTAAAGCACAATTTAGTTCTTTAATATTATAATTTTTAAAAAGCATCTTCTTGTTCTTAGTACTGAAAGAAAAAGAGGAAGACAAAAGTCTCTTTAATACTAAGATTTTTTTAAAATACCACTGTCTGCCTTTCACTTATACTCTGGGTTTTTCCCAGAAGCCCTCAAGGCAATTCCTCTCTTTCATTAACAAAATATTGAAGCACAGAGCTAATTTTTGTCCCTATTTCAACTAGAACATGAGAAACCAGTCTTTCAAACTCTAAATTTAGAGAGACAACTTGCAGGAGATTTTAGGATTAAATTGCAAACTTAAATTCTCAGTGATTTTTCTGTGTCTGTAATGAGACACTGTAAAATGAAATAAATATTATCCAAACCTGGATCATAATTTTAAAATTTAAAAAAAATCTATTTTAATTAATTTTCTCTTATTGTTACCAGTACTAGAACCTATAAAGTAACCTAGATATCCTTAAATATTTCTCCTGCAGAAAAGATGGCAGAAACCGAGTTTTTAAAAGCTTTTGTTATAATACTCCACACTTCTGACCATCATGTTTTATGGCTCTATTATTTTCAACAAAAGCACTTAACTGTGAATGCCTTTTCTTTTGGCATATTTATATTCCTCTGCAGTAGATTAAGGAAGCAATTTTCAAGAAGATCACATTTTTTGAGTTATTTTGTTGCAAAATGGAAATAATTGCACCATGATGAATACAGACTGCTAATAACTGCTTCTGTTACATTTCAAGAAGAGATATCATCTTACCCAATGAGCTATTATTCAGGACATTCTCCAAATACTTGACCATTGCCTCAATATCACTGTCCTGTGGATAGATGAAATAAGGGATAGCATTAGTGTGAGCACAAATTTAAATATAAACACTATGTACCGGACATATGACCCCCAGAAAGGATATCACTTACACCAGTGAGTGTCAACACTAGACTACAAAGAGTCTACATTTCTCAGGACTTTTTCTGTTTTCTTCTCCTAAAACACCAGGCTTGGGAATCATGTTATACACAAACAATTATTTACATCAGATTCCTTGCAGAACACAAGTGTGTAGAACAACTGTGCATGGAGTTTAAAGAAGATACGTTTACTGTGGGAGGTGATGTGCAATCTCTGAAAATACACCAGCATTTTATCATCGATTAGTCCTGGAATATCTAAAACAATATTACACTGAAAAAGGCAAGTAAGCACGTCTTAACTATGCCAAAATTTCTTATGCTTATGATAGCTGCCCACTGCAAATTAATACTTATGTTTCATGTAATTGCATCTACTTACACAGCTAGTAACAATGACTAATTGAAAAAAAATTTAATTAAGAAGAGATCTCAGCACTTTTCTATTTCAAGTATTCTGTTACCAGACAGATGATTAACAGTTTTTCCATGATACCTTTTATGCGAATTGTTGTTTGTGTACACAGATGAAATTCAAAGATCTGGCCACTAGGCGATGATTGTGCTCCAAGAAGTAGATCACAAGTTTATTAAAGTCCGAGAGAAACTTGGACTCCGAGTTTCTAGAAGCTGCTACCATATCACGTTTGACAACATGGCATTTCTTCTGACTATTTAAAACTGAAAGTCAAAATCTTGACCTTGCTGAAAAATCTTGCAAAAATTTGTATTTTAAAAAATATTGAGAAGCCTATGGTTTTAAAATTTAAAACAGTGGAATAAAAAGAAACAATACTGACCTCAGCTTCTACCATGGACAACCTGCTTTATATTTCTCTGTGATCTTACTCAAAACGCTCATTAAGTTTCTCAAACTGAGGAACTGCCAGTATACCTTAACAGGATAAAAAAAATTGGTGGCAATGGCTGGTTAATGACATTTCGGTGCACGTGAGAGCTGTTATGGATGAGCATGATCTAACTTTTTATCACCCTAAGTTTTTTCACGGGCTTATATTTGAAACAGGCTCTGCTATTTTAGCTGGGATTTGCAAGATGGGAATCAGCTTCTTGATGGGCCATTTCAACAGAAAACCCAAAGGCTCATAGGTCTGAAGGAGCCTCTTTGCCCTTTTGGAGCAGCCTGTGGGGTCCTGGCTGGATAAAGTCAGCACCAGGGTTTCCAGTTCTGCAGCCCATCCAAATTGCCTGAGTTACCTCAGATGACCAAGTTAATCTGAACCTGCTTAACTGGGGCTTTTGACAGTTAGCAGTAAAGAGCCCAGGACATGCTACAGAATGCATTGCATCTGTATGTACAATACATACTGAACATTAAATTAAGACAGACTTAATATTACAGCTATAATTTCTCTGTATTTTTTTTTAAAATAAAAGAGTAAATGAACCTTTAGGACTTCATTAAAAGGTTATTAAATATTTTTCATTCACAACTAAAATTTGATATTAATTTTCTGCTAATATAAATTTGTAATTATTTTTATTTTCATTATCAAACAGTTAACTGCAATCTATAGACAGACAGACAAAAACATGGTAAATGACCACATATAATATTAATACAATTGTTTTAATAAAACCTTTTTTTTTCTTTTTTAATGGGATAAAATTGTAATTCCCAAGCCTTTGGCTTCTCACAAGAGGACGTCATATTTACTCCAAATATCACAACAGAGCAGATTTTTTTCTCATTATGCTGTAAGGCGTAAGACTTTCACCACCTTCATCACCATTGGTTTTCAAGGAAAGTAGCTGGCTTAACTTGGTTATCCTGAAATACAATTTCGATGAGGCAGAGAATGTGGTTTTCACACAGTGGTAAATAGTTGAATAAATGGTTGATCAACTTACACTGTGGTAGAAACTACCTGTGCCTTTTCTCCAATTGGGTTTAGCAATCCAAGAGGATTTTAGCTGTTTTATTTAGCGTGCTTATCTATTTAACTTATTTCTTACAGTTTCTCATTCTCTTTCATGTTTTCCCCCTAATTAGAAACCAGTATTCCTAGAAAAAAAACATGTGGAAAAGAGCCATTGGCTTGAAGAGGTAGAGGTCTGGAAAAGTAATTGGCAAATTGCTGCTTGAAATTTGGCAATCTGCATTTCTGCTCCAAAACAGAGGGACAAAGGACACTAAACTCCAATGCTACAACTAAGATGAGAGGTCCAGATGTGCTTAGGGTCTGAAATTGGTGGTAACTCCACAGCTGCAACTGGACGATGTGGCTGAAAACACACAGGCTGCATTGAAAGATATCAACATGGGAAAAATAGCTGTCCCAGCTCCCATCCTAAACCTTTAAAATTATACCATTGCAGTGCCTAACTCTGCTTTCTTAACTGAAGAGGTGTTGCATCCCACATAAGGCCACTACTTCTCAGTCTGTCTTGATATCTGTGGGAGCCTAACATAGCTTGAATAGCTCAGATCTCTTTCTACATCACGCACCCCAATGTGTTGTTCAGTTAGATGACTTTTCTGACCCCATGCTACTGCATGAACATCAGAATTTTTTTTAATCATTGTTTTGAAGTAATGGGGTCACCGGGGTTCACCACCAGATGCAGCATTTCTGCACTCTCTGCACAGAAGTAACTAGTAAAGCAATCTTGGCATTGGAAAATTGAGAGATTTGCACAGATTAGGAAAATAAATAGCTTAAAAGTCCATATCCTGTGTTGCAGTGGAATGACTTCTTTATTAGCAACAGTATAATTTATGAAGGTATTTTTGAAGAAAGGGTTTAAGAGTATGAATCCCATCATAGAAATAGGAGTAGGAGTTTTGATTTTAAGTAAATGACTGCAGAAGCAGACCCCTGCTATATACTAGCAAGATCAAATCTATTCTGGTAGGATTTGAAGCTTATTATTAATACAGAGCATGATCCCACCTACCTTTGAGTGGGATTCATCTCACATAACTATTGGCACATCCAGAATGAAGATGTTCCATGCATGCTAATAACTGTAGATCCTTTTATAATCACCAGAGAGAAAGAGGGACCTCTCAGAGTATTCCATCTAACCTACGTTAGATGTTTACACCAAGATAGTATTATTCCCTAACAATGCTTGCTTACTTCCCCTTATTGTACAGACTTTCCATTCAGTTAGTTCAGACACAGGTGTCCAGATTTGCACAGTTATGTTCAGTCTGCTTTGACCTCAGACTTACTGCAGAATTTTTCACTTGAGAAAGGAAAAATTGAAATTATGCTCACTTCCGAAGAAACAGACAAGGTGATTGTGTCGATACCCAGAAACATATTTCTGCTTTATTTAAGGTGCTGGGGTCAACATGAGAAAAAACAAAGACAGGCAATTAGTTTATTTGATAGAGGAAGTCCGAAAAGGCAAACGGTCACAGGAAGTGCCTCCCAGTCAGTCTGTGCAGGCCAGTTCACAGCGGGTTAATGCTCTGTCTGCACACAGACTGCTGGTAAGTGAAGCCTCAGGGCCATCAGGGCTGGATTCAGACAAGAGGTGCCAGTGGGACAGCTCTTCCAGCCCACCCTGATGGTTCTTGTCATTGCCAAATTCTGAGTCACTGTAAAATGAGGGAATGTTGCTGCTCAGATCTGACTGCCAACAGCTAATTTATTCTGCATTATCGAGAAATCTATTTTTAGATTCTGCCCTTCATTAATTCTAAGCAGAAGTCTGCCAAACACTATTGATTGACACTTAATGATACCATCAATGAAAGTTGAATGAAAATTTTAAAAGGCATTCTAAAAAGAAAAAAAAAATATCTCAGAGTCTGATGAAAGTGAGCAATAATTTATTTTCAAGAGTATCTTGCGATAGGCCTTCTAGGCAACAGAGTGTTTGCATGTCTATGTGCTGTGGGTAAACACAGACCCCAAAAACTGAAAAAAAGCATTGTCTTAGATATTCTACTGATTTACAATTGACTAATAATTTCTTTAGACCAGTACTGTATAAACTGATCATGAATTTTAAAACATCCTGTGTGTTTATTTTGAAAGCTAGGAGGACATTTCTAGATTGAATTAAGCCGTTTCTGAGTAAACTGCAAGTTTAACTGGTGAGAGAATTTCAGGACTCCCTGCTACTGTGGTAGAAGTAGCGTTCTGATTTCTCACATAAACATTTTATTTTTGCCTTAAAAACTACATCTTAAAGAAGCTATTAGTTCAAAATTTTCAAAAATCAGTACAAGTTATTTATAACTTAGTGAGGAGTATTAGCATACGTGGTTGGTCCCCTAAAATGCAAAAGACATCACACCCTGCTCTGCAAAATTTGCCTATGAACTCAGACTAACACATATGATCCTAAGCAGAATCAGACAGCAGCATTCAGAGGCACTGTATGCAATGCTTTAACTTGGTGGCCCAGGGGAGAAATGAATTGTTCCTGAATACCTTAGGAAGATCCATTTTCAGAACTGACTTGGGCATTTAAGTTCATTGATTTCACTGAGACTTGATCACTGGAGACAAGATTCATCTCAGCTCGTTCTGATCAGATCTAAATTGGGTGCCTTTTCCAATAATCTTCAACCTTCTTCACACTGCAATCCCTAAGACTTTCTTGTGGCAGCCTCACCTGATAAAGCTACTTTAAGCCTTTCAATAATAAGTTTTCTCTTCACTGACACTTTCTGAGATTCTTGGGAAAGTCTACAGATTTGCTGCTCAAGCCTTGCAGTTTTTTAGGCTCACAGTTCATCACACTGTCCTAGAAAACATTTCTAATATAGGCAGGAAGAAGTGGCAACTAGAGGTGCCTACCTGTCCCCAGGAATTAAGAGCTGGAACTTACATCTTATGCTGGAAGTGTATTTTCAGCTTTAACGTAATTTACCCATAGCTAACGTGTGAGAGAACCCCACTCTGAGTGTTTTACAGGCGCAAGTAAGTTTACTGACAATGGTCCTCCTTACGGCATTCATGGGAGTGTTATCCTTAATCTTGAAGGAATGCAAGAATTACATATGCATGCACATCTAATTAATTCATGATATTGATATACGTACACATTCCTAACAAAAACAAAATTCAATAATGTCAGTGGGACAAAATCTTGGAAGGAGCTTAATTTTCCCATGAGCATCAAGTGTACTGTTTTCCCAAAGGTCTCATATACCTGGTGATTTGTTGTCTCGGAGACCACTTGTGACACTTCCACATCCTCCTCCTCTTCACTGCCTTCTGAACAGGATTCAAACTCATCATTATAATATTCTTCTGCAATTTCTGGGTCTTCAGGGATCTCTAAAGGCAATTATGAGTTTAAAGTATATAGACAGACAATATGCATGATGTTAAAAAGATAAAATGGATTTTATACCACACATATTATGTCACTAGCAATGCATTCTGTAATTGAAATCAAGGGATAAATTCTCAAATTAAAATGTTCATCTTTGATGACATGATAAACAGTGTTAAAGCTGTCCCTGGCAAAAGGTCAGATCCTCATCATGTGTAAATTAATGACCTCAAAGGATCTATATTGATTTGGGCCTGAAATCACTGAACCATAGAATAATTCAGGCTGGAAGGGACCTCATGGGATCATTTAGTCAAAGCAGGGTCAGCATTGAATTGATTCCAGCTTTTCATGAGCTGAAATTATGCCCCAGTTTTTTTTTCTCTAACACACATAACCTGTGGTGAATACAACTGCTAAGCTAAAATGGAAAATAACATATACCAGGCACATACTCAGAAGATAAAAGAAATAAGGAAGGGAAGTCGGACCCGGAGTAACGATGGAATCTCAATATCAGTATGGTCGTTCTCGTTTATTGCGCAGTTAGCAAAGCATATATAGGCAGAAAACAGTAACATACACACCGGTCACACTGTGGGGTAGAACACGCCACTACACACACGCCTCCATCGCTACCGTGATTGGGACAGATCACCTGTCCAT